CCACTCACCACTCACGCTCACCACTCACCCTCACCACTCACCCTCACCACTCACGCTCACCACTCACGCTCACCACTCACCACTCACTCACCACTCACTCTCACCACTCGCTCACCACTCACCACTCACGCTCACCACGCACCACGCACCACTCACGCTCACCACTCACCCTCACCACTCACGCTCACCCTCATCACTCTCACGCTCACCACCCACGCTCACCACTCACCACACTCACGCTCACCACTCACCACTCACCACTCACGCTCACCACTCACGCTCACCACTCACCACTCACGCGCACCACTCACGCTCACCACTCACCACTCACGCTCACCACTCACCACTCACCACACTCACGCTCACCACTCACCACCCACGCTCACCACTCACCACACTCACGCTCACCACGCTCACGCTCACCACTCACCACTCACGCTCACCACTCACGCTCACCACTCACGCTCACCACTCACGCTCACCACTCACCACTCACGCTCACCACTCACCACTCACCACACTCACGCTCACCACTCACCACTCACACTCACCACTCACCACACTCACGCTCACCACACTCACGCTCACCACTCACCACACTCACGCTCACCACTCACCACTCACCACACTCACGCTCACCACTCACCACTCACACTCACCACTCACCACACTCACGCTCACCACACTCACGCTCACCACTCACCACACTCACGCTCACCACTCACACTCACCACTCACCACTCACGCTCACCACACTCACGCTCACCACTCACCACACTCACGCTCACCACTCACCACTCACAATCACCACTCACCACTCACGCTCACCACTCACGCTCACCACTCACCACTCACGCTCACCACTCACGCTCACCACGCTCACGCTCACCACTCACCCTCACCACTCACGCTCACCACTCACGCTCACCACTCACCACTCATCACTCACCACTCACACGCTAACCACTCACCACTCACGCTCACCACTCACCACTCACCCCTCACTCACGCTCACCACTCACGCTCACCACTCACCACTCACGCTCACCACTCACCACTCACGCTCACTCACCACTCACTCACTCACCACTCACTCACCACTCACTCACCACTCACCACTGACTCACGCTCACCACTCACCACTCACCTACTCACTCACCACTCACCACTCACTCACCACTCACTCACCACTCACCACTCACGCTCACCACTCACGCTCACCACTCACCACTCACTCACCACTCACTCACCACTCACCACTGACTCACGCTCACCACTCACGCTCACCACTCACCACTCACCGCTCACCACTCACGCTCACCACTCACGCTCACCACTCACGCTCACCACTCACCACTCACTCACCACTCACCACACACTCACGCTCACCACTCACTCACCACTCACACTCACCACTCGCGCTCACCACTCACCACTCACGCTCACCACTCACACGCTCACCACTCACGCTCACCACTCACGCTCACCACTCACCACTGACTCACGCTCACCACTCACCACTCACCAACCACTCACGCTCACCACTCACGCTCACCACTCACCGCTCACCACTCACCACTCACTCACCACTCACCACTCACACTCACCACTCACGCTCACCACTCACCACTCACTCACCACTCACGCTCACCACTCACCACTCACGCTCACCACTCACTCACCACTCACGCTCACCACTCACGCTCACCACTCACTCACCACTCACTCACCACTCACTCACCACTCACCACTCACGCTCACCACTCACTCACCACTCACTACTCACCACTCACGCTAACCACTCACCACTCACGCTCACCACTCACCACTCACTCACGCTCACCACTCACCACTCACGCTCACCACTCACCACTCACGCTCACCACTCACGCTCACCACTCACCACTCACGCTCACCACTCACCACTCACGCTCACCACTCACGCTCACCACTCACGCTCACCCTCACCACTCTCACGCTCACCACTCACCACACTCACGCTCACCACACTCACGCTCACTCACTAACCACTCACGCTCACCACTCACCACTCACCACTCACGCTCACCACTCACCACTCACGCTCACCACTCACGCTCACCACTCACCACTCACGCTCACCACTCACCACTCACCCTCACCACTCACCCTCACCACTCACGCTCACCACTCACGCTCACCACTCACCACTCACTCACCACTCACTCTCACCACTCACGCTCACCACTCACCACTCACCCTCACCACTCACGCTCACCACTCACGCTCACCACTCACGCTCACCACTCACCACTCACCACTCACTCACCACTCACGCTCACCACTCACGCTCACCACTCACTCACCACTCACGCTCACCACTCACCACTCACGCTCACCACTCACGCTCACCACTCACCACTCACGCTCACCACTCAGGCTCACCACTCAGGCTCACCACTCACTCACCACTCACACGCTCACCACTCACGCTCACCACTCACCACTCACTCACCACACACGCTCACCACTCACGCTCACCACTCACGCTCACCACTCACCACTCACTCACCACTCACCACTCACTCACGCTCACCACTCACGCTCACCACTCACCACTCACGCTCACCACTCACCACTCACGCTCACCACTCACGCTCACCACTCACGCTCACCACTCACCACTCACGCTCACCACTCACACTCACCACTCGCGCTCACCACTCACCACTCACGCTCACCACTCACCACTCACCACTGACTCACGCTCACCACTCACCACTCACTCACCACTCACACTCACCACTCACGCTCACCACTCACCACTCGCTCACCACTCACGCTCACCACTCACGCTCACCACTCGCCACTCACCACTGACTCACGCTCACCACTCACCACTCACTCACCACTCACGCTCACCACTCACACTCACCACTCACGCTCACCACTCACCACTCACTCACCACTCACTGCTCACCACTCACACTCACCACTCACGCTCACCACTCACCACTCACTCACCACTCACGCTCACCACTCACTCACCACTCACCACTCACTCACCACTCACCACTCACTCACCACTCACCACTCACGCTCACCACTCACTCACCACTCACCACTCACGCTCACCACTCACCACTCACGCTCACCACTCACCACTCACTCACGCTCACCACTCACCACTCACGCTCACCACTCACCACTCACGCTCACCACTCACGCTCACCACTCACGCTCACCACTCACCACTCACGCTCACCACTCACGCTCACCACTCACCACTCACGCTCACCACTCACCACTCACGCTCACCACTCACGCTCACCACACTCACGCTCACACACACACTCACTCACTCACTTCATGCTCACTCACCACCCATCCACTCACCACTCACCACTCACTCACTCACCCACCCACCTACTCACCCACCCACTCACCTACTCACTCACTCACCTACTCACCCACCCACTCACCTAATCACTCACTCACTCACCACTGACTCACCACTCACCACTCACTCACTGTGAGTGAGTGAGTGACTGAGTAAGTGGGTGAGTGAGTGAGTGGTGAGTGGATGGGTGGTGAGTGAGCATGAAGTGAGTGAGTGGGTGAGTGTGTGGTAAGTGGTGAGTGTGTGGTAAGTGAGTGGTGAGTGAGTGGTGAGTGAGTGGTGAGTGTGTGAGTGTGTGGCAAGTGATGAGTGAGTGTGTGGTTAGTGAGTGAGTGGTGAGTGAGTGGTGAGTGAGTGAGTGGTGAGTGTGGTGTGAGTGGTAAGTGAGTGAGTGGTGAGTGTGGTGAGTGAGTGGTGAGTACGTGGTGAGTACGTGGTGAGTAAGTGGTGAGTGAGTGTGTGGTGAGTGTATGGTGAGTGACTGGTGAGTGAGTGAGTAGTGAGTGAGTGAGTGGTAAGTGGTGAGTGAGTGGTGAGTGAGTGAGTGGTGTGTGGTAAGTGGTGAGTGAGTGGTGAGTGAGTGAGGTGGTGAGTGGTGGGTGAGTGAGTGGGTGAGTGGTGAGTAAGTGGTGAGTGAGTGTTGAGTGTGTGGTAAGTGGTGAGTGAGTAGTGAGTGAGTGGTGAGTAGTGAGTGGGTGAGTGAGTAAGTGGTGAGTGAGTGGTGAGTAAGTGGTGGGTGAGTGGGTGAGTGGGTGAGTGAGTGGGTGAGTGAGTGGTCAGTAGGTGAGTGAGTGGTGAGTGAGTGGGTGAGTGAGTGGTGAGTGAGTGGTGAGTAAGTGGGTGAGTGAGTGAGTGGTAAGTGGGTGAGTGAGTGAGTGGTGAGTGAGTGGTGAGTGTGTGGTGAGTAAGTGGTGAGTAAGTGGTGAGTGTGTGGTGAGTGTGTGGTGAGTGAGTGGTGAGTAAGTGGTGAGTGAGTGGTGAGTGAGTGGTGAGTAAGTGGTGAGTGGTTGAGTGAGTGGTGAGTGAGTGGTGAGTGAGTGGTGAGTAAGTGAGTGGTTGAGTGAGTGGTTGAGTGAGTGGGTGGTGAGTGAGTGAGTAAGTGAGTAAGTGGTGAGTGAGTGGTGAGTAAGTGGTGAGTGGTGAGTAAGTGGTGAGTGGTGAGTAAGTGGTGAGTGAGTGGGTAAGTGAGTGAGTGGTTGAGTGAGTGGTGAGTGGGTGAGTGAGTAGGTGGTGAGTAAGTGGTGAGTAAGTGGTGAGTAAGTGAGTGGTGAGTGAGTGGGTGTGTGAGTGAGTGGTTGAGTGAGTGGTGAGTAAGTGAGTGGTGAGTGTGTGGTGAGTGAGTGGTGAGTAAGTAGTGAGTGAGTGGGTGAGTGAGTAAGTAGTGAGTGAGTGGTGAGTAAGTGATGAGTAAGTGGTGAGTAAGTGGTGAGTAAGTGGTGAGTAAGTGGTGAGTAAGTGGTGAGTGAGTGGTGAGTAAGTGGTGAGTAAGTGGTGAGTAAGTGGTGAGTAAGTGGTGAGTGAGTGGTGAGTGTTTGGTGAGTGAGTGGTGAGTGAGTGGTGAGTGAGTGGTGAGTAAGTGGTGAGTGAGTGGTGAGTAAGTGGTGCTTGCCGTGTTTTGCAGGAGGGCTCTGATGGAGGTGGTGATGCTGGCTACTGGTGGAGCAGCTCACCAACACGCTCACCAACTCGCTCACCAACTCGCTCACCAACTCGCTCACCAACTCGCTCACCAACTCGCTCACCAACTCGCTCACCAACTCGCTGACCTGCTCGCTCACCAACTCGCTGACCTGCTCGCTCACCAACTCGCTCACCAACTCGCTCACCAACTCGCTCACCAACTCGCTCACCAACTCGCTCACCAACTCGCTCACCAACTCGCTGACCTGCTCGCTCACCAACTCGCTGACCTGCTCGCTCACCAACTCGCTCACCAACTCGCTCACCAACTCGCTCACCAACTCGCTGACCTGCTCGCTCACCAGCTCGCTCACCAACTCGCTCACCAACTCGCTCACCAACTCGCTGACCTGCTCGCTCACCAACTCGCTCACCAACTCGCTCACCAACTCGCTCACCAACTCGCTCACCAGCTCGCTCACCAGCTCGCTAACCTGCTCGCTCACCAACTCGCTCACCAACTCGCTCACCAACTCACTCACCAACTCGCTGACCTGCTCGCTCACCAACTCGCTCACCAGCTCGCTCATCCACTCGCTCACCAACTCGCTCACCAACTCGCTCACCAACTCGCTCACCAACTCGCTCACCAACTCGCTCACCAACTCGCTCACCAGCTCGCTCACCAACTCGCTCACCAACTCGCTCACCAACTCGCTCACCAGCTCGCTCACCAACTCGCTCACCAACTCGCTCACCAGCTCGCTCACCAGCTCGCTCACCAACTCGCTCACCAGCTCGCTCACCTGCTCGCTCACCAGCTCGCTCACCAACTCGCTCACCAACTCGCTCACCAACTCGCTCACCAACTCGCTCATGATGCACACACTCACCACACTCACCACTCACCACATACTCACCACACTCACCACTCACCCACACACTCACCACACTCACCCACACACTCACCCACTCACCCACACACTCACCACACTCACCACACTCACCCACACACTCACCACACTCACCACACTCACCACTCCCCCACACACTCACCACACTCACCACACTCACCCACACACTCACCACACTCACCACACTCACCCACACACTCGCCACACTCACCCAAGGCTCACCTGCTCACCCACAGACGTGCTCACCACTCCCCGACTCACCACTCGCTCACCACTCGCACACACACACAGACACACACACACAGACAGACACACACACAGACACACACACACACAGACACACCTACACACACACAGTGACACACACATACACAGTGACACACACAACAACAACAACAACCGCCATTCGCCACTAAGTGGCGGTGACGTCACCACGACGCTTGTGCCAGGCTATGTGCACCCTGAGGCCACGTGGAGTGTTGAACGCCCGCTGGCAGGAGGTCACGGGGCAGACCCAGGTGCCACGGGTCGACTGACTGAGATCACTGACACACGCACAGACACACACACACACACAGACACACACACACAGACACACACACACAGACACACACACACGCACATACACACAGGCACACACACACACACAGACAAGCACAGACACACACACAGACACACACACGCACAGACACACACACAGACACACAGACACACAGAGAGACACACACACACAGACACCTACGCTGTCTCTCCCCGTCTCTCTCTCCCAGTGTCTCTCTCTCCGCGTGTCTCTCTCCCCGTGTCTCTCTCCCAGTGTCTCTCTCTCCGCGTGTCTCTCTCCCCGTGTCTCTCTCCCCGTGTCTCTCCCTCCCCCGATTTTCACATTCCAGGTGATGGTAGTGGTAGAGGGGGTAGTGGTGGTAGTGGAGGTGATGGTGGTGGAGGTGATGGTGGTGGTAGTGGTGGTAGTGGAGGTGATGGTGGTGGTGGTAGTGGTGGTGATAGTGGTGGTGGAGGTGGTGGTAGTGGTGGTAGTGGTGGTGGTGGTAGTGGTGGTGATAGTGGTGGTGGAGGTGGTGGTAGTGGTGGTAGTGGTGGTGGAGGTGGTGGTAGTGGAGGTGATGGTGGTGGTGGTGGTGATAGTGGTGGTGGAGGTGGTGGTAGTGGTGGTAGTGGTGGTGGAGGTGGTGGTAGTGGTGGTGGAGGTGGTGGTAGTGGTGGTAGTGGTGGTGGTAGAGGGGGTAGTGGTGGTAGTGGAGGTGATGGTGGTGGTGGTAGTGGTGGTGGTAGTGGTGGTGATAGTGGTGGTGGAGGTGGTGGTAGTGGTGGTAGTGGTGGTAGTGGAGGTGATGGTGGAGGTGGTGGTAGTGGTGGTGGAGGTGGTAGTGGTAATGCTGGTAGTGGTAGTGGTGGTTGTAGTGGTAGTGATGGTAGTGGTGGTAGTGGTGGTGGAGGTGGTGGTGGTAATGGTGGTAGTGGTGGTAGTGGTGATGGTTGTGGTGGTAGTGGTGGTAGTGGTGATGGTTGTGTGAGTGGAGTCTAACAGGGGGATCGCCTACCCCCTTTATCTCAGCCAGGGGTCCACTTAGTGTGAGTGTGAATGTGTGTGTGTGAGAGTGAATGTGAGAGTGTGAATGTGTGAGAGTGAATGTGTGTATGTGAATGTGTGTGAATGTGTGTGAGTGAATGTGTGTGTGTGTGAATGTGTGTGTGTGAATGTGTGTGAGTGAATGTGTGAGTGTGAATGTGTGTGTGTGTGTGAATGTGTGTGAATGTGTGACAGTGAATGTGAGAGTGTGTGAGTGAGTGAATGTGTGAGTGTGAATGTGTGTGAGTGAATGTGTGACAGTGAATGTGTGTGTCTGTGTGTGTGTAGCGGTAGTGTAGTGGTTAGCGCTACGCTGTGCTATGAACCTGGCGACCCGGGTTCGATTCCCGCTCACGGCCAACACCAGTGACGATTATCTGAACCGGTCCCGGGCCTCCCCTAGGTCGACTCAGCCTCAAATGAGTATCTGGTGCTGTGTAGTAAACATCGCCACTGGGGAGACAAAGGCGGTCGGGCGTGGTGCTGACCACCCACCCCCTCGTGTACCGTTCCGGCCTTCATAGGTGCTCGCTAACAGCACTTGCCCCTACAGTCTGTTAAGGCTATATGGGGGATCTTTATCTTTGTATGTGAGTGGGTGAGTGTCTGTGTGAGTGAGTGTCTGTGTGAGTGACTGTGTGAGTGTCTGTGTCTTTGTCTGTGTACGTGAGTGTCTGTGTGAGTGAGTCTGAGTGAGTCTGAGTGAGTGTCTGTGTGAGTGTGTGAGTGTCTGTGAGTGAGTGTGTGTCAGTGTATGTCTGTGTGTGTGTCTGTGTGTGTGTCTGTGTACGTTAGTGTCTGTGTGAGTGAGTGAGTGTCTGAGTGAGTGTGTGTGAGTGTCTATGTGTGTGTCTGTGTGCGTGAGTGTCTGTGTGTCTGTGTGAGTGTGTGTCTGTGTACGTGTGTGTGTGTGTGTCTGTGTGTGTGTCTGTGTACGTTAGTGTCTGTGTGAGTGAGTGAGTGTCTGAGTGTCTGTGTGAGTGTCTGTGTGTCTGTGTGAGTGAGTGTCTGTGTGTCTGTGTGAGTGAGTGTCTGTGTGAGTGAGTGTGTGAGTGTCTGTGTGAGTGAGTGTCTGTGTGCGTGTCTGTCTGTGTGTGTCAGTGTATGTCTGTGTGTGAGTGTCTGTGTGAGTGAGTGAGTGTCTGTGTGAGTGTCTGTGTGAGTGAGTGAGCGTGTCTGTGTGTGTGTGTCTGTGTGTGAGTGTGTGCGTGGTGGTAGTCCAGCTGGTTACCGGGTCGAGCGGGTGGAGCGTGCCAGGTGGACTATGAGGGTGGACCGTGCAGGATGAACGATAGTAGTTGTAGTTGCAATACGAGCAGGAGGGTGACGTGTTGTGTCTAGGCTCTAGAATTCCCGACTTGACCTCCGTTTCATTTTTATTATTCTCTTATCAACGGTGGCTACTACGTTCACGGAGATTTGGATGATTTGGTGGTGTGGGTGGGTGGTGTGGGTGGTGTGGGTGGGTGGTGTGGGTGGGTGGGTGGTGTGGGTGGGTGGGTGGTGATGGTGGGTGGGTGGGTGGGTTTGGGTTACCCGTGGCCATGCGAAGGTCAATTTACTTTTGGGGCTTGCTTGGGGTAACGGGTGGTGGTGGTGGTGGTGTCCAGGGATTTTCGTGGGGGGCTCTTAGGGGGCCCCCCAATCCCTCCCCACCCTCTCCACTTTGGGTTGGTGGGGGGGGGGGTGGTGGTGGTGGTGGGGGGTGACTCTGTTGGGTTCAAGGATTTTCAATAAACTACAGGACGTGGATCTGAGCTGGTGACCTGCGTATTGTGTGTGGTGTGGTGTAGTGTGTGTGTGTAGTGTGTATAGTGTGTGTGGTGTAGTGTGTAGTGTGGTGTGTGTAGTGTGTATAGTGTGTGTAGTGTGTAGTGTAGTGTGTGTGTGTATGTGAGTGTGTGTGTGTAGTGTAGTGTGTAGTGTGTATAGTGTGTGTGTAGTGTGTGTGTGTAGTGTGGTGTGTAGTGTGTGGTGTAGTGTGGTGTGTGTGGTGTAGTGTGTGTAGTGTAGTGTGTGTAGTGTGTGTAGGTGTGTGTGTAGTGTAGTGTGTGTAGGTGTGTGTGTAGTGTGTGTAGTGTAGTGTGTATAGTGTGTGGTGTGTAGTGTGGTGTAGTGTGTGGTGTGTGTGGTGTAGTGTGTGTAGTGTGTGTGTAGTGTGTGTGTAGTGTAGTGTGTATAGTGTGTGTATAGTGTGTGTAGTGTAGTGTGTGTAGTGTGTGTCTAGTGTGGTGTGTAGTGTGTGTGTGTAGTGTGTGGTGTAGTGTAGTGTGTCTGTACTACACTGTGTGTACTACACTGTGTGTGTAGTGTGGTGTGTGTGTACTACATTGTGTGTGTGTACACTGTGTGTACTACACTGTGTGTGTGTGTACACTGTGTGTGTGTGTACACTGTGTGTGTGTGTACACTGTGTGTACTACACTGTGTGTGTACTACACTGTTTGTGTGTACACTGTGTGTGTACTACACTGTGTGTGTGTACATTGTGTGTGTACGACACTGTGTGTGTACACTGTGTGTGTGTACTACACTGTGTGTGTGTACACTGT